GAAACGGGGCAGTGCCGAAAAAGGCCAGCGCCGTTGGTTTCTCCATCAAACAGCGGGGCTTTCTGCAGAACCACCTGGAAACGATGACTCCGAGCTAAACAGGCTTGGGGCCTTGCTCCACCACTCTCCAGCCGGGGGCAACGTCCCACTTGCACGGATTAAGAGATTCTGGCCGTTGATCTTTGCTATCTACGGTCAATATCGGTTAATTTGTGTAAGTGGGACCTAGCCGCGGAGGTGAAGATGAAGAAAAAGTTGCGATCGGTGCATTTGTTGGGGGCTTTTGCAGTCAAACCACCAGAAGTTGGCCCAGCTATCCGTCACGGAAAAAAATAGAGTAGAAACGTTTCCAGTTGGATGAATTTGGGCGCTCCTGTAGTGGCCCGTACGTTTTCTAAAATCATGGCTGGTATACGGGCACGACTCTAGGAAGCACTGGTGGTTTAAGAGGACACACGCCGTGGTTGGAAAAAAGAAATATAATAGGTGCTTCCAGAGCAGCTGCAGAATCTCCTCCTGGTAGGTCCAGAATCTCCCTTCTACTGGTTCATGGATTTACCTACCTTAGCCCTCATCACACTACTGAGTGACTACTCTGGTTGCCATTCAATAAATTTGGTGAGGACTTGGATAACTCATAAATTTCAATTTAAATGGGTGAGAGCCACAGTGCGCGCACCGTATAAATTTGGTAACCCATTTGGAAATTTAAAATGGGGTTGGAGTGGGTGGGCATTTGGACAAGTTTGGCAATAGAGTTGCACTTGCTTGCTAATGATGTCGCTTGACGAGTGGCGTGGAGTGGACGCTGACGCCCCGCGGAGGGAGACAAGGACTGACAATTCTGTTTTGAGAATAAAAAGAGGGAGGAAAACAAAGGAGAATGGATGATTAACCTTAAGGAACCAGTACATGGGCACCTGGGCCGCAGGTCTGACACCTCAAATTCTGGCGGCGCGAAACGAAAACGGGGCTGTCGATCGAATTTATCAATGGCGGGCCCAGCGTTTGACGTTTCGGCCTCGTTTTCTTGTGGCGACAAGTTTCGGACAGCAAGGCTGGGGCCGTGTACTTGTGGCTTAAGGAAGAGCGAGCAGGCCCTCTTTATCTAAGTCAGGATCCCATGGAGGCCACTCCATCTCACAGCTCAGTGACAACTTGAATCATGTGCCTCCGGCAGCCTCCGTGATTGATGTGAGTCATTATGTGACTTCTTTGCATCCAAGAAAATCCCTCTAGTATGCTGCTAGAACCATCTTTCCGTTCATACAGCTGACACTAGAACAGTTGACACTAGAACCACCATCAATGTGTGTACCCAATGGCATGAACCACCTGCCACATGGACTAAGTCCGCATCTAGATACGTCTATGAGGACCCCAGAGTCATCCACCACCGTATAGACTAGGGCATGCTTTGGCTATAAATGTGTGCACCCAAGGCTCATGATCAACCGTAATCATACTATAGACTTGGACATGCTTGAACTATAGATAAGTGCCCCTCACAGTCATCCACCATATAGACTTAATAACCCATGTTCGGATGCTACCACCCAAGGAACATTGAATTTCACCATAATGTTATAGACTACGATATGATTGAGCTATTTTTGAACAATCACCATGATATAGACTAGAGCATACTTGAACTATTGGTTTAGAAGACATAGCTTGAAACAACTTGAGACCCGAAGGTTTCTTGTGCATAGTACGAATAATTAGAAGTGAACTAAAAACGTTTTTGTTTGGACTCAAGGAATGCTCTGACGTGATAGTGGGGACGATTGGCCGGTACTCGACCTAGTATAATCTGACTGTCAGTGAGAGGTATTTCAATATGAAAACATAGTAGTATAGTCGAACATTCACCATAACATAGGCTAGGACATGCCTGAACTATACTTGAACATTTGCCGTACAGACTAGTACATGCTTGAACTATAGCTGCCTCAACTTGTTTCAAATTGCGCCTAGGGACTGTCCACCATATAGACTAAGTCCAAGCTTGAACAATAGATGTTTGCACCTAAGGACTAATGGTCGGCAACCAGCATATAGACTACTGTTTGTAACTAAGGACCCACTAGCATATTATAGACTCAGTTCATGTTCAGATCCTACTAGGGCAACATGCTTGCACTGAACTCAACGTGCGTAACCAAGCGTAGTACCCAAGGATGATCCTCCAAGTTATAGACTACAGTCCATGTTTGTACTATGGGATAGTAGACTAAGTTATAGACTAAAGTCCATGTTTGTACTATGGGATAGTAGACTAAGTGGGGATTCAGGGGAAGACAACGGGTGGCCAGGATTCCGCAGCCACAACTTAGCCTAGCGATTTTGAATTCTCATGTTCTCCACACTGCCCCCATCCTTCCCTTCACCCCTCAACTGAACCTTTGCCCAGAGTTGCAGCAACGGATCAGAAGAGTCAGTCTCAACAGATGCTAATGTGTGCTGAACAGAAAGGGTTGTCTCAGCAAAAACTGGAACTGTCTCAAGAGGAAATGATGGTCTCCAGTCCACTATACTTGCACGAAAATGAGGCAAAAACCAAGGGATATCAATCACAACAGCAAGCGGAGAGCATGAATATCCCTTCATTTTCTTAGATGGTGTCCCAAAAATCGAATAGTACACAACAATGTGGAGTATTAATCGCAGGGTCAATCAATCTCCAGAAAGGCTCCTCATCACGAGAACAGAGCCAGTTGCTATCACATAATATTTTGGGGGATTGGAGTAAAAGGACTTTCTCCCAGGGGAGGGGAATCACAAGGAGATGAAAAAAAGGGGAGAGTGGATGGGAGGCGTGAGAAGAAAGGGGTATATGGGGAAGAGGAGGAGGGAGAGGAGAAAGATGGGAAAGATGGATGCGAGGGAGGAAAATGAGGAAACAATGGAAAGGCAGGGGGAAAAAAACAAGAAAGGAGAATCCCCGGAATTATCCTTGACTGAATGTGTCAATTTGAAAGGGATTCAATCTAAATTGCTGCATATCAACAGGCAAGGAAATCAGTCATCCCCATTGCAAACCCTCATGTGAAATTTGACCTAGAGCAAAAACCTTCTTCCCTACGTAGCACCGTGTTCGCATTCGAGGCGAACCCGAACATGTTCGCCCGAATGCGAACAAGCACCCAAAACCGTCCGAACGGGAACGTAAAAAAATAAAAGCGTTTTTCAGAAAAATCCGAAAACACTATATGTCATGTAAAATAACAATACAAGCAACTTTTGCCTTGGAGTCATGTTCAAACTCGTAGCCCATCACGAGTTAAAAATCAAAAACCAAAAACAATATTGTTTTACTTTTTATTATATTTTTTACGAAAACAAAAAAATGTTCGGCCGAACATGTTCGCGAGCTGTTCGCGCGAACGCGCGACCCTGCAAGTTCTTCCTTCTAAATTTATTATTTCTTTTGAAAACAAAGTGATTGATTTAGGAGGAAAAAAGGCAATGATAAAATCATATCCTTCACAAAAATTAGTTGAGAGGGATGTGATTTATCAGACGCACGCTACCAATTAGGTATTTTACGATGACAGAACTTAAAAATCCACAAATGATGAAATTAAATGGTTTTGCAACCAGTTAACATCCTTCAAAGGGAGTTATGAAGTAGCCTGGGAGGATTTCCTTATCCAACCGATCTCTTCATCAATGTTTACAATTCTTTGTGTACATCCCATGTATATTTGTGGGAGGATTTCCTTATCCTTACTTTAGATGCGACAGATCTGAAGTAAGGATATATCCATGGACGACACTAAGACAGGGGTCGGATGAGAAGCAAAGACAGATAATGGAAATTTTATCTTGGGTAGAATTTAGACAGATCCCAACAAAACTGTGTAACCGTCTGAACGCGTCGAACGCGCGTGTTCAAACGGCCATGTACCGCGTTCAATCACGTTCAAACACGCTATGCGCTATAGGGCGCGAATTTTTGGAACGCGACCCGCCCATCCTTGTGCGCGCATGGGGGACTACGGATGGGCGACTTGCTTCTTCAAAATAAACACTTCGTATATTTTCATGTTCTAGCGGTAGACGCCTTCGATTTTGCTCATCTTGTCGATGGAAGTAGTGTGTTGCCCGCCCTGAGGTTTGAGACTTGCTTAAAGTGTGGTAGTGTATGTTTCCACGTTCTAGCGGTAGATTCATTTGATTTTGCTCATCAAATCGATGGAAGTACCATGAGGTGAGCCACGTGGTTGGGGACTTACCTGTTCTCTTCTCTCTCTCTCTCTCTCTCTCTCTCTCTCTCTCTCTCTCTCTCTCTCTCTCTCTCTCTCTCTCT